GAACTTTTTTCTCATCAGTGTACTCAAAAACTACCTGAGAGTCTTTGAATTGGGTGTAAACACCCAGTGGATCACACCAGTATCAAATGCAAATTATGAGCCGAGATTTACGTCAGGCGTGGCGGCTGCATTAGGTTTGATCACCATATGGTAATATCCCATCTATGCTGTTTTGTTAACAACACCATATACTAGATGTTGACATATGAAAATACGACGAAGAAACGCTGTCGGATTACCAAAAAGTTGTGGAGACTTACTTAATGCCACCCTTAGTACCCACTCAGGAAGTGGCAACGTCGATGAAGCATACAAAGGCTTCAAAAGAGCCGTCGTTTAATCAATGAAAAGCATAGGGTTATGAAGAGAATAGGCAAACTGCCGTAGGTTACTGAGAAGACCATTGCCTTTAAAGTTTATTGAATCAGGCAGCGAGGGAGCGTTTGCAAGACCTCACTGCACCCTCGAAGGCAGCTCATCGTCGTTTCGGTTGTACAGTGAACAGAAGCTACAGGCGCGGTATGGAATTTTGGCTGCAGGGAGAAATCGGGAAAATCAGTGAGCAACGAGGAAGGACGACTGGAGAGCAGTATTTAAGAAAGTGAGATGGCTGTCCGATAGGCATGTGCCACTGTCTGCCATTATCCAAGAGATTAAAGGTGCCCAACTGATAGGTAAGAAGGAACTTTTCAAAAGTTGGGCAAAACATTTTCAGCAGCTGCTTGACGCCTGCGCTCTACATTCGTCATTTAGTCATTTAATTCTCTGCCAACCCTAGAGGTTAGAATGAATGTAGCCATAAAACTAGAAAACCAAAAAGTCTTGCTTTACCCAATGACGAAGAAGGTCTCTGTGGTAGAACGAATTCCTCCGGAATTAATTAAATATGGAAAAACGGGAATGGTGAAAAACCTCCATGATATGCTTCGTCAAGTATGGACCCAGAGATATTTCCTTGAGAATGCAAGTATGGACTAAACGCCCCCATTTTTAAAGAAGATCTGGTAACGAAATTTCCAATTATTATCGAATGATATTAAAGTCAATTCCTCGGAAACGTTTCTCTTTGACTATCTTGGAGAGTCTGAAACACGCAAATGATAGGAAGCTTCGCTGAAATGAAGCAACGTTTCGGGTCGATTACTTCTGTTTGGACAAAATTTTTCTCTGGGTAGGAACATTCAGCAATCTCGATGACACCTTAGTTGCCTTGCTTTGCAAGTTTCCCCGACTTAATGCTGGATTTGATTAGGTACATCATGAGAAAACGTTGTGAAACATCCTGAGATCCTATAAGATACTAGTACAAGGGTATCTTCTTGGAAATGATGTATGTAGAACTTGTATCTGCCGGCGAAGTTGGGTATAAGGTACTTGAGTTGTACCCTCTTAACGTAGGCTTTTAAATATGTGTTATCATTTTTGCTATTCCGCGCTGTTCTACACTTTTTTCTCTGAAATAGTGCTGACCTAAGTAAATATGAAGTTCTTATCCTAGAGGGAGGCGCAATTCAAGAATTCGGCTAGATATCTTCCTGACATGAAACATGCAGATCCTATTGTCCTGAGGAGTACTACGGAAGCGGACTCCATCTTACTAATTCCACAATCAATGCGGCCATGAAACCCGGACTCTACTTTAAGAATATAAAGCGCTTCAGCTTCGAAATCTCCAGCAACTATGCCGCTCAGTTGTAGTTAAATGGCAGAATGTCCCAAATGTCCAGTATTTTTCGTTGAATGTGAAATGTGGTGACTAAGAATGGAATATTATATTTTGCAACAGTCTGCCAGCTGCTTTGCTTCGGGCAAATTAATGTTTCTATACACCGCAAAACCGTCGTCATTAAGACATATTGTTGAATCACGTGCTACAGCACTAACCTCGATTCACAGTATGTGTTAAATAGCAGGACTGATGAAAGAACAGTAAATATTTTCTGAGAATATATACCCTGATTATATTCAAAGATTACGAAAGGTAGGCTAGACTTGTTTCAAACCTATTTCAAAATGACATCATTGAAATCAGATCTTCGTGCTTGGGGTCGAAGCGCGGAGGAAGTCAACAACAAGATCAGCATACAACATAGACGAAAAAATCGAGAAAATCTTGTAAACGGAAATGATTCATTCTTTCTGCGACGCAGCAGACGATGCCTTGTGGGGTACAGTCATGAAGAAACTGACCATGTAGGAAACGTCACAATAATAAAAGTTCCTGTAATGTAAATTCCTGAATATGACGAGATAGCAACTGAAAAAGGCAAAATATAGAATTAGTATCAAGGAGTCTTCTCACCCGCCGAGCGATAGCACTCAAAATTACATAATATAGGAACAACAATCAACTGATATGTAATGTTTCTCGTTCAGATGAGTAGGATAAATGCTAAACCTTTGTGCTTTCGGGGAACAATTTTATCGTATCAACAGTGTTACCGGCAGTCATTAAACGTTTAACACTCCAAACAACATTCTTTATATTTCAACATCTGCCTAGTAAGTGTAAGTCATGCACTACATACAACTTCTGGGATCAGTCTCCTTGAAATATTTAAAGCATCCTGTCTTTATTGAGAGTTTTTATCCATTTTAGTGGCTGATCTGTGATGAACGAACATTCTGTTTCTTGTCCTTCAAGAGATTATATGACTGACATTCTGTTTCGAAACGACGACGGTCAATGTAGCGAATAATTTTAAGCCACAATTTGAAATGTAGGCAGCATTTTCTTGCCATTGCAAATTTAGTTTAGTTGATGCCTGTTTCATTTAATTAAGTGAACATGTACACTGCTCGACACGATCAGAAAAACCTTTTATTGTAAAGTCAATACAAACTAAGCTTTGTAAAACTGCTTTATCGCTAATTTTACAGTCCATGGAATAAACCTGCAGATCGAAACATACAAGAGTACTGAATAATGTTTTAAGAATAAAATGTTCGTTTAAGATGAAGATTGTTTCTACGAGCGGTGATAGTTCAGGGCAGATGAAACTAGCTTAAGGTGGTATTGTGTCAGTGCAGTGTCTGAAATTTAAGCTTATATGTAAGGTAATTTCTTTTGGAGAAGCGAATGTGGTAGTCGCTTGCAAGCCGTCATCGGAAAGATTTCAGTCAACCGGTTATCTCGTTACTTCGTTGCCGTTGATGCGCGAATGAGAACAAAAAGAAGAAGAAGAAGGAGCAGCTCTTGTCCCGATCCCGTGTCCGGCCTTAGTTGGCAAAGGTAGGCTACAGGTTTTTTTACAGGCTTTTCGTGCTTTTACTGTGCCACCATGCCACTGGTGTAAGTCGTCCAACGACGACGGCAATAATCTTTTGTCCTCATTGCGTGAGTATCGCTATGAATGCACATGTAGAGTCAAGCACAAGGTCGCCGGCACTTTTTGGCGTCTGATCGATTTGTGCTTTTGCGAATACACAACGACGGTGACAACGACTGTCGGAACGCGGTGAGAATCAAAAGCGAAAGTTTGTCGCCGTCGCCATATTCGGATGGTGTGGCACCGCGTCCTCATTCGCCTCGTTGTGGTCGTCGTTCTCTGACCCACCGATCATTGTTGTCATCCTTCGCACCTTCTATTCTTCTAGCTGCCCTGTTGTCGTGCTGTGATTCATCAGTCGTTCTTAATCCCAACGGTCGTGGAGCGGCGTGGCGTGTGGCGTCCGAGGAGGAGGCAGAGGCGGAGGAAGAAGCTCAGGGATCGATCTCTGAAATCATATGCTATCTCATTCTTGTGTCACGTCGCTGCACGCCACGCCTCGTCTCAGTCGATGGCCGGCGTTCGGCAGCAGCTGCCAGAGCTTGGTATAGTTCTACTTGAGACTTTTTTGTTACCAAAGGCAGGCTAGGTGCTGACGTCTGACTGTTCATCTTCAGTTGTCTCCCATAGTTTATTGTCGTCGCCTCTGCGACGTGACGTGGCACAGGGTCTCTCTGGTTTCAACCGAACCTTCGCTTCTGCATAACACTCGCAATTTCAGCGATTCGCTTTACCACACCCTATTCGGCTAGCCTTCTCAGCTGCACCATGCCGATCGTCTCATTTTCAGCAGCCAGTTGACTGTTCACAGAGTACTAGCAGTAGTCGGTCAAAAGTAGTAATAAAGCGAAGGTGCGAACTCTTAGCATCATACTTTTACCATCTGGACAGAAGACGTTGCTCAGAACTGATTAATAAAGCGAGTACTGATCATACTATAGAATGTATTTATGCGTTCCGTTCAAACTTCGCACACATATTTGCCCGAAAGTATTTCAGAATGGTATATTTAACAGAATGAGGCAGAACGGTGTATCAGAGGGACCAGCCGTTGCCGTAGTTACGCTCTGTTGTTAACTGTTTTTTTTGTTGTGTTCGATACGCCTTTGGCTGTACTCCGACGATCTTTTAAATGCAGATGCATTGCCTTTAGTGGCTTAATTCCCCTGATGAACCATTATACTGAATTACAAAGCGTAATTTTACTTAACTCATTACCT